TCAAAAACGTTTATACAGTAAAACTTTGATAGGATGCCCTTCATTTCAATGACCACGTAGTTTACTGCCAACATATTTCAATGTCCAGTTTAACCATTATTCTTACAAATTCCCCAACATATGTCCCTTGATATCACTGACTCGGTTTATAACGCTGTAATGTTGCTGAACGAACGACAGCATTATAACACAAAGTATTGATAGGCTCTGCTCACACTTTATTCTGTATCGAGAGTTTCATTGTTAAACAAGATATGGACTTAATTCTCTCTATTTTTACATGAAAACAAATGACTTACTTCTATTATCACTATATACGACATTTTCATTACTATCCTTGGTAGCAATTATTATTTCTACAATGTGATTCTTGATAGCTACTATAAATCCATTAGCATTATCCCATGTTAACTCACCTTTTTAATTTATAAAATAAATCTGGGACATTGATATTGTAATAACCTTTAGTAATAAAACCCTGTTTACCTGAGACAGAGTGGTGTCCCCTTGGTTAAGTCCTTTGTCCTACTCATATACTGGTACATGGCATGTTTTCTATTTTTAAATAATTTGTCACATCAGTTTCCTTGAGGGAGAATAAAGTTTCCATCATCAACTGTGTGTTTTGTTGTTGTATTTTTCAAAGTGAATATTATAAGGTACATGTACTGTATACCTGGAAATTCTTGCACAGTAAAAGTTGCCTTTTAAACAGAATAATCCATTTTTACCTTCACTTTTAATTACTATTCATATTAATATTGCACAACGTTTGCGTTAATGGTAACTTCACCCTCATTACGACAGGTGATAATTAAACTTTAGCAAACATTTTCTGGTGTACAGTACAATATGCATTACCACTCCGAGTACCAAAGGGGTGTGTTGGAATCGACTTAATTGACCTTTAGTATAGAACTTTATTAGGGTCATGACCTCTAATATAATACTGGAGTATATATATTGAACTTGTCAGAACCGAGAAGCAACCTCTAGCCTAGATCCTTAGACTAGAGCCTGTCAAACACAGAAATCTGATTTCTAGCCTAGATCCTTAGAGCCTGTCAAACACAGAAATCTTATCTCTAGCCTAGATCCTTAGAGCCTGTCAAACACAGAAATCTGATCTCTAGCCTAGATCCTTAGAGCCTGTCAAACACAGAAATCTTATCTCTAGCCTAGAGCCTATCAAACACAGAAATCTGATCTCTAGCCTAGAGCCTGTCAAACACAGAAATCTGATCTCTAGCCTAGACCCTTAGAGCCTGTCAAACACAGACATCTTATTTCTAGCCTAGATCCTTGGAGCCTGTCAAACACAGAAATCCGATTTCTAGCCTAGATCCTTAGAGCCTGTCAAACACAGAAATCTTACCTCTAGCCTGGAGCCTGTCAAACACAGAAATCTGATCTCTAGTCTAGACCTTTTAGAGTCTGTCAGAACAATTAATTCTGACCCAAAGTCTAGACCCTTGTTAAGTCTGTAAGAACACAGAAATCCTATCTCTAGTTTAGACCTTAATTAAGTCTGTCAGAATGCAGAAGACTGACCTTTAATCTAGATGGTCCTTACGGAGTCTGTCTGGACAGAGAAACCTGACCTCTAGTCTATATCCTTAGCGAGTCAGACAGAACACAAAAGTCTAGCTATAATCTACACTTATTGTGTCTGTCAGACTCTTTTACATATAGGCTATACAGGTCTATCAAAAGGGTGAAGAATTTGTTTCCTCTAGTATAGATCCTTATTTGAGCTACAGTTGGTCTTTCAGGACACCAGATTATATAGGTACCGGTAAGATGGGTGTCTGTTGCCTCCTCTAGTATAGATCCTTATTTGAGCTACAGTTGGTCTTTCAGGACACCAGATTATATAGATACGGGTAAGATGGGTGTCTGTCGCCTGGAAGCTTAAGGTTGTGTTATCTTGCTTTCTGAATACCTTATTTCTGTTTGAAATAGTTTGATAGGTGTGATTTGTGTTGTCTAGATGCTTGGCAAACAAAAATGTCAATAAAACAAAACATTTTTTTATTTTTTTATTAGATATATATATATAAAATGTCTTCGACAAAATTGATTAAAATATATCTGAATGTGTGACAAAATTTATTAAAATATATCTTAAAGAATTAGTATATTACAAGATCAGTTTGATTTCATCAACAAAACAAGAGGTTCATCTGTGAACAAGACAGCACATCATACGGTACCTAAGGTCATACTTCTAAAGGCTAGTAAGCATTAATCCTTACATGCAAGTGAAACCTCCGTTATCCAAATGCTGCCAATTTAGAAAAAAAGTTCTTGTCAAACCTTATGTTCTTCACAGATTATTTTCTTCTATCGATTCCTTTTCTTTTCTTATATCAATTCCTGTTTCATGGGAAATTTGTTACTCCAGATTTTTTTTTGTGAAAGATAATATGTCTGGTCTCATGAAGTCCCACTTTATCACAAAAGATGTACCAGGAATTTATATTTTCAAAGACATTTATTACAGAAAAAAACTAAAGGAAAATAGATCTTGAGTAATTATATATGTCAGTATCATATTTCAACTTTTTTTTTAGATATTTACACAAAAACAATAAAATCTGTTTAATGGCAGTTGTCTTGATTATGTAAAATCTAAAATGATATGCAGATGATAACCTGGGCCACTTTAATTTATCCAGTTGAAATGGACCGAAATACTCTGTATTAAACGAAAGCACATGGACAGAAGTGGACCGACCTCATTGGCAAAGGTCAAAATGCACAGTTTAAGTGTTGTCTCAAATAAAAAGAAATAGGGATTCTATGTGATTACACCGCCATAAATATATATACAATGTATATGTGAATAGAACTTTTATGCAGCGTTACCATAAACTAGCAACAGTCAGCCATTTAATTTTAATCAAATTTTCTTGAGGTCAGTCTCAGTCCCGCTTTGTGCCTGTAGTTTCAAATTCAACCAATACAAATGTTTGCACCAGACTAATAAAAGCAGTCTTAATGATAATGAAATTAGAAACACAATTTCTTCACAGCATTAAATGCCTGTTTAAATTTCAAAAACTTTTCTGAGGCTGTTACACAGCACTTAAATATGGAAGAGTACCATCAAAACAGTTTAAGACTTAAGTCTCACTGTCACACCTTCTTTTAAAATTCAATCCAAAATTCAACAAATTTTATGTTAATTTGAAGAAATGACATCATAATTATTTACAATTTATAATTTCATGGCGGATTGGTGGTGTGGTTAACACTCTGGCCTTCCACGCAGGCGGCCGGGATTCGATCCCCAAAGTGGTCATACACATGGATATTCAGAGAAAGTGTTTTTCTCCTGCCCACACAACTTCAACAACCCAGGTGGAGTATGAATTGGTCTAGGGTGGATGTTGCAGTATCTGTGCTGAAGCATTCAAGATAGGTGGCAATATAAATGATGCCGTTGGAAGCACGGTCCCACTACAAACAGAACACGTTACATCGCCAGCATACACACATAGGGAGATATTAGCCAGGTGGCATATGACTAGTAGCTAGCGCCTGATAAGACAGCTCCTGCGAATTGCTCATTTTTTTTATTGATTAATGTACATGCTAATTGTATTTATTGTATGGATTGTGTAATCCTATATCTATGTACTGTAGATCGCTTAAGAGTGGCTAATGCTAGCTAGATAGGGTGCTATATCAAATGCTGTATATTTATTTGTTTTACAATATGAGGATACAGATTTCTGTAAACATAAAAAGTTTTACTTTGTACTGAAAAGAAACACCACATACAAATGTTTCCTGTGCCTAGATTGGTTCAGGATCCATGTTTCCCGTGCCTATATTGGTTCATGATCCATGTTTCCTGTGCCTAGATTGGTTCAGGATCCATGTTTCCTGTGCCTATATTGGTTCAGGATCCATGTTTCCCGTGCCTAGATTGGTTCAGAATCCATGTTTCCCGTACCTAGATTGGTTCAGGATCCATGTTTCCCGTACCTAGATTGGTTCAGGATCCATGTTTCCCCTGCCTAGATTGGCTCAGGATCCATGTTTCCCGTGCCTAGATTGGTTCAGGATCCATGTTTCCCCTGCCTAGATTGGTTCAGGATCCATGTTTCCCGTGCCTAGATTGGTTCAGGATCCATGTTTCCCCTGCCTAGATTGGCTCAGGATCCATGTTTCCCGTGCCTAGATTGGTTCAGGATCCATGTTTCCCGTGTCTAGATTGGTTCAGGATCCATGTTTCCCGTGCCTAGATTAGTTCAGGATCCATGTTTCCTGTGCCTAGATTGGTTCAGGATCAAAGTCAGAAGCATATTTCGAGTGACTGACTTTAATGTCGTCCTCAATACTCAAGGGGTCGCGCTCACTTTTGCTTACTGCACACCTGGAATATGTCATAGCAAAATAGAAAGCCCAGTATGCACTACCTTGCGGATGTGACTGGAAGACTAGTTTGATCCTTTGTTGTACATTAAAAGAATCTGTAAAATTAACCGACTTTGAAGTCGGGCATATACAAAATTCCAGGGGTGTAAATAGTGAAAGTGAGCGTAACCCCTGGAGTAACGAGGATGAAGTATGGCTCAAACTCATTCACCGCTGGCGACACATTTGAATTCTTCGAATTTAAAGGTTGGAATAGTTCATAATGAAATTTCAGTGGTGAATGATCATGAGTTAATGTGACACGTCATGTACTTTAGAAAGCATTCTCTCTTGGACTTGCTTTCAGATGTAAACGTCCTGATTTACGAGACTCAAATGTACTTTATCGCAAAATGATTATAATATTAAAAGTTATTTCAACAAAGTAGAGCACTACAGAAACAAGTTGATGTTCATGTATATAAATGTAACAGGTGTGAGTATTAAATAGGAACTCTTCTATATCATTTATGGAAATTGTTCCGGAAATGTTTTAAATGATATTAGGATCAATAACACAGGTTCTGTTTAATGAAAGTACTGCAAACTAGTATTCTGACATCGTAATTATTTCGAAATATTTTAAAGAGGCAAACTTTTGATTCCAAAGTTATTATTTCATTTGATATTGACTGTTTGACTCATATACCTTTTTAAAACATTCAAACAGTTTCCTTACCCAGTGCACTACAGGATCAAAGGAACACCAAGTTATTGTACAGACACAATATTACTAAAATTTGTTTACATCAGTCGAGTTTGAACATAAATCTTACAATCCTTGAATGATACACTGGATTCAGAGGCCTGTTTGTTACAGACTGGTTGACGCTAATGCAAATTTTGAAAGTCTTTTTCAAAGCTTTAATTGCCAGATATATCAGACCACCAGGGTATGTCTCTATTTCATAAGCAATGCTGATCTATGCATTCAAACCTTTTGGAATGCAATAAATGAGGTCAAGTTCAGTAAGTGTGTCTGCACACTTCCTACAGAAAACAAACTTAACAGAAACAACAAATCTTTGGAGTTAAAAGATTAATACAACTGACTACATGAGTTAATGTAAATCAAGATATAAAAACACAACAGCAATAAACCACAACCAATCGTTACACGATCAGATAAAATAGAACTGTAATAATACTGCCTTACTTCGGTACAGTGTAACACGTATCACACTCCTCCTCACAGGGTGATTGGTGGAAGACAGCTTGACCCTGACCTTGATATTTACAATACTGACAGTTCAGATCAATTGTTTTGGTAATGCTAATAGTGAAGGTCACAGTCAACTTTCTGTCAGTCAACTTTCTAAGCTTATAAAGGACACTTGACTTCCTGCCACAGCAAAGTTTTTAGAACTCAACCTTGACCTTGCTACTCTGGGACAACCTTGCGTGTGGGGTCCTGGTAGCAGATAAGAGACAAAGATCCCTGTTCACGCTTTGATGTGTAACTGAAAAAAGGAAATTTTAAGTGTCAAAACAAATTTAATGTTTATTAAGTCAAAAATATGATTGCAACGTACATCATCAGTAAAATATCTGTACAATTTGGTAGTAGTAAACAATGTGATCCACGATTCATTGTGTGTTGTGAAAAAGGATAATTACTAGCTATATAACAGACTAGTATACATACAAGTGAGTATTATTTCTGTGTCTAGCGAGATTCAATCATTGTGAAATTCAATCATAGTGAGATTCAATCATAGTGAGATTTAATCATAGTGTGATTCAATCATAGTGTGATTCAATCATTGTGAGATTCAATCATAGTGTGAAGTGAAATTCAATCATAGTGTGATTCAATCATTGTAAGATTCAATCATAGTGTGATTCAATCAGTGTGTGATTCAATTGGTGTGAAATTCAATCATAGTGAGATTCAATCATAGTGTGAAGTGAAATTCAATCGTAGTGTGATTCAATCTTAGTGAGATTCAATCGTAGTGTGATTCAATTGGTGTGAAATTCAATCATAGTGTGATTCATTCATAGTGTAAAGAGAAAATTAAATCGTAGTGTGATTCAATCATAGTGTGATTCATTCATTGTAAGATTCAATCGTAGTGAGATTCAATCATAGTGCAATTCAATTGGTGTGAAATTCAATCATAGTAAGATTCAATCATAGTGTGATTCAATCATAGTGTGAAGCAAATGTTGTGAAATTCAATCATAGTGTGATTCAATCAAAGTATGATTCAATCGGTGTGAAATTTAATTATAGTGTGATTCATTCATAATGTGACTCAATCATTGTGGTTAACTACATCAATTTCTGGCTTACATACATTTGACTTTGCTTTTCAGAATATATCACTTTCTCCTTCAGAATTTTGGTATTTGGTGCAGATGGCTATTGCTTTGTACAACGGAAAAGCTTCTCCCCGATACATGCCGATACTTGTGTGAAGGGCCTGGGATTTAGCAGAGTTCAGTACCAGTATCAGTATGAAGAAGTTTTTGACAAATCACAGCTGAACAAACAGTTAACTTCACAAGAATATGCTTCACATCGCATAATAACATTGACATTTGTGACAAAGCGTGTATCATGGTATTGACCTACCTCTGTCCAATAGGAACAAGCAGTGAGTCATTATTACCGACTGCATACTCCTTCCCTTCAACAGTCACAGTAGAGCTTCCCTCCTGTAAACAGAGGGGTATAATATCTCATTACTTCTTATACAAGGGTAGGATATCTTATTACTTATAACACAGGGGTATAGTATCTCATTACTTCTTATACAAGGGTAGAATATCTTATAACACAGGGGGATACTATCTCATTACTTCTTATACAATGGTAAGATATCTTATAACACAGGGGTATACTATGTCATTACTTCTTATACAAGGGTAGGATATCTAATTGCTTATAACACAGGGGCATAATATCTCATTACTTCTTATACAAGGGAAGGATATCTTATTACTTATAACACAGGGGTATAATATCTCATTTCTTCTTACACAAGGGTAGGATATCTTATAACACAGGGGTATAATATCTCATTACTTCTTATACAAGGGAAGGATATCTTATTACTTATAACACAGGGGCATAATATCTCATTACTTCTTATACAAGGGAAGGATATCTTATTACTTATAACACAGGGGTATAATATCTCAATACTTCTTATACAAGGGTAGGATATCTAATTGCTTATAACACAGGGGCATAATATCTCATTACTTCTTATACAAGGGTAGAATATCTTATAACACAGGGTTATAATATCTCATTACTTCTTATACAAGGGAAGGATATCTTATTACTTATAACACAGGGGTATAGTATCTCATTACTTCTTATACAAGGGTAGTATATCTTATAACACAGGGGTATACTATGTCATTACTTCTTATACAAGGGTAGGATATGTTATTACTTATAACACAGGGGTATAATATCTCATTTCTTCTTACACAAGGGTAGGATATCTTATAACACAGGGGTATACTATCTCATTACTTCTTATACAAGGGTAGGATATCTTATTACTTATAACACAGGGGTATAATATCTCATTACTTCTTATACAAGGGTAGGATATTTCATTACTTATAACACAGGGGTATAATATCTCATTTCTTCTTATACAAGGGTAGGATATCTTATAACACAGGGGTATACTATCTCATTACTTCTTATACAAGGGTAGGATATCTAATTACTTATAACACAGGGGCATAATATCTCATTACTTCTTATACAAGGGTAGGATATCTTATTTATAAAATAGGGAGAGTATATATCATTACTTATAACTCTTGGGTTAGATATATCATTATCCAAAAAACGGGTATGATATCTCATTACTTATAAAAGAGGGGTAGGATATCTCATTACTTATAACACTTGGGTAAGATATATCATTACTAATAACACAGGGGTATGATATCTCATTACTAATAACACAGGGGTATGATATATCATTGCTTTTAATTTGTAAAGGGACATGGTCAGATCACATTTCAAATATTTATAAGAAAGCGAACTCTAGACTAAGTATTCTTAGAATTTTAAAAACTACAGTTGATAGGAATACATTAAAAACATTATATGTCTCTTATATAAGACCTGTGCTAGAATATTCTGATATAGTATGGGATAATTGTACCAAATCGGAATCAGATCTTTTAGAATCAGTTCAACTAGAAGCTATGCGTTTAATTACTGGCCTCAGACGAGGTACATCTCATCATATTCTGTATACTGAAACACAACTTGAAACATTACACACACGAAGACAAAATCATAAACTAACATTAATGTATAAGATTCTTAATAATTACACTCCAACTTATCTCGATAATATCATTCAACCATTTCTAAATGTAAATAATAACTATACCTTCAGAAATAACAGATTCTTTAATATACCACAGACAAGAACTACTACTTATATGAATAGCTTCTTCCCTTCTACAATGGTAAAATGGAATGCACTTGATAGCACTGTACGAGACTCCATCTCAATTTCATCTTTTAAAAAGAAACTTAAAAAAACCTTTGATACATCCGTCTCAGAAACTTTTATTAACTGTGTTCCGAGGAAACTTAACATAATTTTATGTCAGCTAAGAAATTTTAAAAGTGATCTTAACTGTGATAAGTTACAAGACCATCTGATTGATGATGCTTCCTGTGTATGTGGTGTACAGAGGGAAGATCTAATACATTTTTTCTTTCAATGTCCTCTGTATTCTAATATTAGGCATCATATTACCACTATTTATAATCTAGTAGGATATTTAAATCTGCACTGTTTAGTATATGGTATTAGTAATGCATCCAACCAATTAAATAAAACTATTCTTATACATGTTGACTCTTATATTAAATCATCAAAACGTTTCGTTACTTATACGTGCTAGATAAATTTCCAAATGAATATTCATGTATTGTTATAATTATTGTTATTCAGGCAAGTTTTATCCCTTAAATAACGAGTATTAGACATAAGCTGGTGTGGGTGTGGGTGTGCATGAGTGTGAGAGGAAACGAATCACAACATTTTATATATTTAAGCATTGTACATATCTACCGGAATTAGAAGAAGACTGATATAGGCAAAGCCTGTTGTCTTATTCTTTTGTCAATACTGTTCAAATATCTCCTTTAATGTTAACTTATATGTTTGTATTATATATGTATTGTCAATAAAATACTTTGAAATTGAAATTGCTTTTAATTCAGGGGTAGGATATCTCATTTCTTATAACACAGGGGTAGAATATCTCATTACTTATAACACAGGGATAGGATATCTCATTAATCATAACACTTTGGTAAGATATATCATTACTTATAACACAGGGATAGGATATCTCATTACTTATAACACTTGGGTAAGATATCTCATTACTTATAGCGCAGGGATATGATATCTCATTACATATAACACAGGGATAGGATATCTCATTACTTATAACAGTTGGGTAAGATATATTATTACTTATAACACAGGGATAGGATATCTCATTACCTATAACACAGGGATAGGATATCTCATTACTTATAACACAGGGGTATGATATTTCATTACTTATAACACTTGGGTAAGATATATAATTACTTATAACACAGGGATAGGATATCTCATTACATATAACACAGGGGTAGGATATCACATTACTTATAACACAGGGATAGGATATCTCATTAATTATAACACAGGGATAGGATATATTATTACTTATAACACAGGGTAGGATATTTCATTAATTATAACACAGGGATAGGATATCTCATTAATTATAACACAGGGATAGGATATATTATTACTTATAACACAGGGGTAGGATATTTTATTAATTATAGCGCAGGGATAGGATATCTCCTTACCTATAACTCAGGTGTAGGATATCTCATTACTTATAACACAGGGATAGGATATATCATTAGTTATAAAACAGGGGTAGGATATCTCATTACTTATAGCGCAGGGATACGATATCTCATTAATTATGACACAGGGATCACTATCTCATTAAATATATCACAGAGAAAGGATATCTCATTAATTTTAACACAATTTCTATTAAAGACATGTGTATGATATCTCATCATTAAGATCACTCACATTACAAACTGCAGTAATACTTGTGGTAATTTATACCATCTGTTGACCGAACCATTGTTGAATTACTCACCAGCTGCCAAATGAAAATTTCAGCTGTATCACATTTTCCTGTATTCTCTCCTTTTCCAAAAACATCAACCTGTCAGTGTACAATATACCATACAAGTAACGCCTTATGAAAGAAAATCCCAACAGACTTACTGAAATCGTTCAAATCTCATTAATAAGCTATAAAGAGAAAGTCCTTTTAAAAAGGGAAGAATTTACATCGTTGTAATTTTGAAAGAGAAAACATATTTAAATGAAATTGTATGAGTAGATAGGCAACATAAGTGTTTGAAACTCTCAATGAAATGCCACAATTACATTTGTACAAATTTATTCAAAGCATGAAAAGATTATACTGAATTGATATAGAAAAGTTTTTCGAGAGCTATTGACCTGACCTAAATGTGTTTACCAGATCTGTTGACCTGACCTAGGTGTGTTTACCAGATCTGTAGACCTGATCATGACCTAGTTGTGTTTACCAGATCTGTTGACCTGACCAAGATGTGTTTACCAGATCTGTTGACCTGACCTAGATGTGTTTACAAGATCTGTTGACCTGACCTAGATGTGTTTACCAGAACTGTTGACCTGACCTAGGTGTGTTTACCAGATCTGTTGACCTGACCAAGATGTGTTTACCAGATCTGTTGACCAGACCTAGATGTGTTTACAAGATCTGTTGACCTGACCTACATGTGTTTACCAGATCTGTTGACCTGTCCTAGATGTGTTTCCCAGAACTGTTGACCTGTTCTAAATGTGTTTACCAGATCTGTTGACCAGATCTAAATGTGCTTACCTGATCTGTTGACTTGACCTAGATGTATTTACCAGATCTGTTGACCTGACCTATATGTGTTTACCAGATCTGTTGACCTGTTCTAAATGTATTTACCAGATCTGTTGACCTGAACTAGATGTGTTTACCAGATCTGTTGACCTGACCTAAATGTATTTACCAGATCTGTTGACCTGATCTACATGTGTTTACCAGATCTGTTGACCTGACCTAGATGTGTTTATTAGATCTGTTGACCTGACCTAATCTGTTGACCTGACCTAGATGTGTTTACCAGATCTGTTGACCTGACCTAAATGTATTTACCAGATCTGTTGACCTGATCTACATGTGTTTACCAGATCTGTTGACCTGACCTAGATGTGTTTACCAGAACTGTTGACTTGACCTAAATGTGTTTACACGATCTGTTGACCTGAACTAGATATGTTTACCAGATCTGTTGACCTCACCTTGATGTGTTTACCAGATCTGTTGACCTCACCTTGATGTGTTTACCAGATCTGTTGACCTCACCTAGATGTGTTGACCAGATCTGTTGACCTGTCCTAGCTGTGTTTAATGAGTTTACCAGAACTATTGACCTTATCTAAATGTGTTTACCAGACCTGTTAACCTGTTCTAAATGTGTTTACCAGATCTGTTGACCAGATCTAAATGTGTTTACCTGATCTGTAGACTTGACCTAAATGTGTTTACACGATCTGTTGACCTGACCTAGATGTGTTTACCAGAACTGTTAAACTGTTCTAATTGTGTTTACCAGATCTGTTGACCTCACCTAGATGTGTTAACCAGATCTGTTGACCTGTCCTAGCTGTGTTTAATGTGTTTACCAGAACTATTGACCTTATCTAAATGTGTTTACCAGACCTGTTAACCTGTTCTAAATGTGTTTACCAGATCTGTTGACCTGACCTAGATGTGTTTATCAGATCTGTTGACCTGACCTACATGTGTTTACCAGATCTGTTGACCTGACCTAAATGTATTTACCAGATCTGTTGACCTGATCTAGATGTGTTTACCAGATCTGTTGACCTGACCTAGATGTGTTTACTAGATCTGTTGACCTGACCTAGATTTGTTAACCAGATCTGTTGACCTGACCTAGATGTGTTTTAGATCTGTTGACCTGAACTAGATGTGTTTACCAGATCTGTTGACCTGACCTAAATGTATTTACCAGATCTGTTGACCTGATCTACATGTGTTTACCAGATCTGTTGACCTGACCTAGATGTGTTTACTAGATCTGTTGACCTGATCTAAATGTGTTTACCAGACCTGTTGACCTGACCTAGATGTGTTTACCAGAACTGTTAACCTGTTCTAAATGTGTTTACCAGATCTGTTGACCTGACCTTGATGTGTTTACCAGAACAGTTGACGTGATCTAAATGTGTTTACCAGAACAGTTGACGTGATCTAAATGTGTTTATTAGATCTGTTGACCTGACCTAGATGTGTTTATTAGATCTGTTGACCTGACCTAGATGTGTTAACCAGATCTGTTGACCTGACCTACATGTGTTTATTAGATCTGTTGACCTACCTGGAACTGGCTATTGCTGCCAAACATGTTCACCACACCTTTACTGTCCATATCTGCCCTGTTTTTATCGATCCAATGCTTCAGACAGAATGGTTTTACTAACTTTACTTTGGAATCAAGCTCAAATGGTGGCTTTTCAATAGTCCCTATATAACAAAATAACATTACAATACATACATTGTCTCGTCATACGTGTCCATGCGGTATATATTTCCGCATTGCCATTTTATCAAGCTTTACCTCGTCACTAGATGACCTGGATGTCACTACATGAGGATATTTTAGATGTTTGGCTATTGGCTATAAATTGACAAAATGACAAAAAAAATCCGGCAGTTCATCCAGGAAACGTAAGAATTCATAACTCATTAAAAAACACGCATAAATGTGCTGTTTTGCTTAATTAACTTTTTATCGTGCTCAAAATGAACCCATACCTGAAGAAACTTATATGAAGTTTTTTGGAAATAAAAATCATTTGTTTTAGCAGTAGACCAGAGCTACAGGAACAATGAATTAATTTGTTTTAGCAGTAGACCAGAGCTACAGGAACAATGAATCAATTTTGATATGTGTCAATGTTTGATTGGTATTTACCGTTGAAACTCGGTTTTCCAAAATGGATTAAATTTATGTAACTTGTGGTAATGGTCAATATGATTAGACTTTAACAATTTCCACATTGTAGAATGGCACAATCTATGGATAACACATTACAATGTATTGATAAAAAATTCTGTTTTGTAAATAACCTACTGAAGGCTTATAAAAAGATTCTTGTAGCACAACTAATCAGTGTTTCTATGTGACGATTTGAGGACTAGTACAGTATGTACTCCGTCATCTTCATCAGACAGTCTGATGAAGGTGACCGAGTACATACCATATTAGTCATCAAAACGTCACATAGAAACACTGATTGGTTGTGCTACAAGAATCTTCTCATAATCCATACTTAACAACCTGAAGAAAATGTTTAGAAAAAATACTGAAAGCTTCATGTTTAAAGTAGACAATCATACTATACTCTTGTACAGGGGTAGGATATCTCATTACTTATAACACAGGGGTAGGATATCTCATTACTTATAACACAGGGGTAGGATATCTCATTACTTATAACACAGGGGTAGGATATCTCATTACTTATAACACAGGGGTAGGATATCTCATTACTTATAACACAGGGGTAGGATATCTCATTACTTATAACACAGGGGTAGGATATCTCATTACTTATAACACAGGGGTAGGATATCTCATTACTTATAACACAGGGGTAGGATATCTCATTACTTATAACACAGGGGTAGGATATCTCATTACTTATAACACAGGGGTGGGATATCTCATTACTTATAACACAGGGATAGGATATCTCATTACTTATAACACAGGGATAGGATATCTCATTACTTATAACACCGGGGTAGGATATCTCATTACTTATAACACAGGGGAAGGATATCTCATTACTTGTCAATGACACTTTTTTTTAGCTGACAGCAAAAATTAACATAAATAATTGATGGAAAAGCTTACCTACTGGTTGTCCCGTCTTGTGCTGTTCAGATGCAAAATACCTGTAACAAAAAAATGTGACAAAATACCTGTAATCAGTGTGAAAAAATTTACCTGTAATGAATGTGACAAAATGCTGTAATTAGTGTGACTTAGTACCTGGAACAAAACTTTACTCCATCTTTTCAAGAGAAGCTAAACTGGATATTGTTTGAGTGGTATTAAGGTTAGGTTACCTTTTGATGATTGGCCCAAGCTGGGAACCAAGGTCTTCACAGTGGAACCACTCCTCATACAAAGTGGTTAGGGTCGAGGCACCATTCTCTTCTATGTAGTACCTACAACACAGAACTCACAGTTCATCCCACATCAAAAGTCCTGTCAGGCTACCAGCCATTAACGGCTCTCACTTAAACAGATGCTAATGTTATATATGCCATTGTCTGTCACCTGAATCTGTTTTAAATGACGTCAGTGTCACCTAACACGACTTTGTCCTAAATTCTAAATAACTTTTAATGTTCTTCACTTGAATCACCCCAGTATATTTCAATGTCACTCACTTACGTCCGTCCAATCTCTGTGTCTGCCTGATGTCACTCACTTTCATCTGTCCCTTGCTGTGTCTGCCTGATGTCACTCACCTAAGTCTGTCCCTCTCTGAGTCTGCCCAGTTGTCACTTACCTAAGTCTGTTCCTCTCTTGAGTCTGCCCAGTTGTCACTTACCTAAGTCTGTCCCTCTCTGAGTCTGCCAAGTTGTCACTTACCTAAGTCTGTTCCTCTCTTGAGTCTGCCCAGTTGTCACTTACCTAAGTCTGTTCCTCTCTGAGTCTGCCTAGTTGTCACTTACCTAAGTATGTTCCTCTCTGAGTCTGCCCAGTTGTCACTTACCTAAGTCTATTCCTCTCTGAGTCTGCCCAGTTGTCACTTACCTAAGTCTCTCCCTCTCTGAGTCTGCCCAGTTGTCACTTACCTAAGTCTGTCCCTCTCTGAGTCTGCCCAGTTGTCTCTCACCTACGTCTGTCCCTCTCTGAGTCTGTCCAGTTGTCACTCACCTACGTCCATCCTTCTCTGTCTCTGCCTGGTAGTCACTCACCTAATTCTGTCCCTGTCTGTGTTTTCTGAGTTGTCACTCCGCTAAGTTTGTCCCTCACTGTGTCTTCTGAGTTGTCACTCAGCTAAGTCTGTCCCTCTCTGTGTCTTCTGAGTTGCCACTCAGCTAAGTATGTCCCTGTCTGTGTGAGTTGCCACTCAGCTAAGTCTGTCCCTCTGTGTCTCTTCCCAGTTGTCACTCACCAAAGTCTGTCCCTGTCTGTGTTTTCTGAGTTGTCACTCAGCTAAGTCTGTCCCTCACTGTGTCTTCTGAGTTGTCACTCAGCTAAGTCTGTCCCTCTCTGTGTCTTCTGAGTTGTCACTCACCTAAGTATGTCCCACTTTGTGTCTGAATGGTAGTCACTCAGCTTAGTCTGTCCATCTCTGTGTCTGACTGGTAGTCACTCACCTAATTCTGTCCCTCTTTTTCTCTTCCCAGTTATCACTCAGTCTTCTGAGTTGTCACTCACCTAAGTCTGTCCCTCTCTGTCTCTGTCCAGTTGTCACTCAGCTAAGACTGTCCCTCTCTGTCTCTGCCCAGTTGTCACTCACCTAAGAGTGTCCCTCTCTGTCTCTGCCCAGTTATTACTCACCTAAGTCCGTCCTTCTCTGTCTCTGCCCAGTTATTACTCACCTAAGAGTGTCCCTCTCTGTCTCTGCCCAGTTGTTACTCACCTTAGTCCGTCCTTCTCTGTCTCTGCCCTGTCCCTTTCTATCACCATACCGATGGTGTTAGCTTGTCTCTGTGGGGAGTGAGCTACTCTAGCTGGCAGCAGGAAAATCTGCAAACAAAACAATTTGCTGTCTTTGAAGTAGATATAAGAAAACTCAATCCTGTAACCATTGGTTAATCAGTTGTATTCAAAACTTAAGAGACACTGTCAGACAATTTGTTAAATAAGCATACAACTTGACAAGAACAATGCCCTGTTTCAACCATATCTCAAACTATATATGATATTGCTTAATGAAGTGAAAGCAAAAATGGAAAAAAACTGTAGTGAAATATATATCTATATCCCCCCCCCCCTTTTGCCCAATAGTGATATATATTCTCCTCCCTTGCCTAGTAACATACACATACTTGTTCCTGACCTATGGTGATATGTAAAGCTCCCCCTCCCTGACATATAGTAAATGATAAATCCAAACCTCCCCCTCCCTGACTTAGTGCCATACATACCTCTCCCTCCCTGACCTATGTGACATACATACCTCTCCCTCCCTGACTAAGTACCATACATACCTCTCCCTCCCTGACCTATAATGGCATACATACTTCTCCCTCCCTGACCTACAGTGACATACATACCTCTCCCTCCCTGACCTACAGTGACATACATATCCCTCCCTCCCTGACCTACAGTGACATACATACCTCTCCCTCTTTGATGTGTACATCTTTATGCTGGTTCTGCTCCACAACTTTCAAACACATGTCCCCTTTTATCATGTAGAACAGCTAGAATTGAATAGGATTATCTCATTACATATTTTATTGTAGAATATATTGTGACTTTATATTTAAGCTCGAGTGCTCTCAGGTAATGTGTTACAAAGTGTTCCCTTGCAGCCCTATACATACATTCTGTTTTACTTCACAAATTTTGAAATACATTAACTTAGGGTGCTCAATAATAAATATTAAAATCAGGTGACTACTGGTTTGTTGAGAGGAAATTCTTTTGAGATACCTAAGATTTTAACCCCTCTGCCGTATTTTGTTTTACCAAATTTGGTTGTACATTGTAATTGGCCTTGTGTTTCTTGAGGAGAAGAGGTTGAAAGAAAAGTTAATGGATGGATGGCATCAGCTTGCTCTTTGAGCCAGGTGAGCTAAAGACACAATTCTGTAAAAAATATATATAAAATGATCATAGCCAACACATAATCACAACAGTCTTCTCTCAATATACCACAGGTAAGTATACCAGCTTAATAAGAATGAATTCTGTTTGCATAATGAGACAGAACAATATATCATAAGTTGGATTTTTTCATGTACAGGTCCTTAAAGTTTGACTTGTATATATATACATATGCAATTGGTAGGTGTGGTTTGTGAGGCCATCCTGAAGAGTCTTACCTCCTCACCCTCCTCAATATGGTAGTCCTTTCTTTGGTTGGGTCCTCCAACATAGAATAGCTTCATCTGTCCCTCGTTGTGCCTTCATAAAAAAGTAACATAAATTGCACTTAATTTCCAGTGATTAACGGTACTACATGTAGTATGCTGTGGAAGCCATATCAAACAATTCACTAATAACTTAGGATCCAGACCAGCACACACTTAAAGACAGCCGGACATTGATTGGACAATGTCATTACTGCTACGGTCCAGTCAGTACACATACCTGAGTATGAAAGACTTCTCAAGATGCATTCCAAATTGGAGATCTGAGAACAACCCATACCAAGGTAAGAGTTAAGTTATCCAAATCAGGAAAAAGATAGTATCTGCCAAGCATATTTAGTTAGGAGTCTGATCAGCCAACCATATCTGGATAAGGATCAAACCAATCAACCATATCTGGATAAGGATCAAACCAGCCAACCATATCTGGATAAGGATCAAACCAGTCAACCATAACTGGACTAAGGGTCAAACCAGACAACCATATCTGGATAAGGATCAAACCAGCCAACCATAACTGGACTAAGGGTCAAACCAGCCAACCATATCTGGATAAGGGTCAAACCAGCCAACCATATCTGGACTAAGGGTCAAACCAGCCAACCATAACTGGACTAAGGGTCAAACCAGCCAACCATATCTGGATAAGGTTTGATTTGGTTTTATCAAGTTTAACAATCAACAGCTGAGGTCATTTAAGGAGGTGCATCTATGTGTGCAATGTATTCATGTATACCAGAAAAGGTATGTTGGTGTACCTTCACTAAGGGTCAGATCAGTCAACCATAACTGGACTAAGGGTCAGACCAGTCAACCATAACTGGACTAATTAGGGTCAGATCAGTCAACCATATCTTGACTAAGGGTCAGACCAGTCAACCATAACTGGACTAAGGGTCAGACCAGTCAACCATACCTTGACTAAGGGTCAGACCAGTCAACCATTACTGGACTAAGGGTCAGACCAATCAATCATACCTTGACTAAGGGTCAGACCAGTCAACCATACCTTGACTAAGGGTCAGACCAGTCAACCATAAATGGATAGGGATCAAACCAGTCAACCATAAATGGATAGGGATCAACCCAGTCAACCATAACTGCTCCAGTGGTTTTTCAGAAGATATAGAAATTACACTGCTAAAACCAGAGACCAGCGCAGTCATTTTTCATTTTTGGATCAGCACAAAAATTAACACTTGGTTTTGGGACTTTTTCAGGAACCTTCGAACAAAGCTTGAAAAACCTTCAGTGGTTCTTGACAAAAAGCTTATATTGTTAATTAATGAGAGATAATGATGGATGAAGATAGCAACAGCGATACATTATCAATCATGTGACTCAACTTCAGGACTGTTTCTTATCTTGTTCTTTTAGTATTCCACCACTAAAAAAGTTCTAATCATATAAAAAAAAATTGTAGCCGAGTTGGACTGGATGTACCCCTGTTTGTGTGTCTATCTCGAGTTGGAGGTTACTAATTACAAGTTCCAATCCAGGTCTGGCTGTGTTGCATTTTCCCTCTCCTGTTACATAGCATGACAATAATTTAAAAGCTTGGGAACATACATGACTACACATTTGAAAAAAAAATCATGACCTTTTTGGATAAGACTCTTGCAAATTTATATCCATAACAGCAATGGCAGTTTAAATGGATCCCCATAGATATGTTCTATATGTTATTATAGGCTTGTGAGCTGCCTGGGTGCATGAAAAAATTAGCTGAGGAAGGATGGGGGGGGGGGGGGGGGGGNAACATGGTATGAAGTAGTTTTTTTTTTTTACTTTTAAAATTGGCCGTGAAACAGTTTGTCATATTGCAAGAATGCATTGTCTTAAAAAATGTGAATATAATAATGCATTTTGTTATTCAGAGAGGGGCAGAATGGCGGGACTGTTTGTAAAAATGGGGACCATAAACATTTCTCATTCAATAAGAAAATGGGGTGGGGGGGTTTAATAGTATACGGGGAAGGGTGCTTATTACGACAAACACGGTGAAGCCAATTTGGGGGTAAGTAAGGACCCAAGTTATATGATTTTGTGTTTATAATCACTAAATGTCTGCTTAATTTCACTTTTAAAGTAGAACACATATGGTGCATGCTACACCTTAATTGTTGGTCAAGTCTTATGAGTTTACTTGTAGATGAAATAGCCCATAACTGAAAACAGTAAGTAAATCCCCCACTGATACCTCTCGAACCAGCGCCAACGTTAAGCAATGAGAATTCCTGTGTCAATTAAGACTCGCGTGCGATTGTCAAGTGTCTCTTGTTAGGCCTAATCATAGAACTCTACGACGGTAACAATATCATCTATAGAACATACGAAATAAAAGCTTGACCAAATCAACTTGCCGTGGCCACATTCGCATGCTTTGAAGTAATAAAATTCGGTCGGTGAAGAAGTTCATTCAGGCAAGCGAGCGTGACTCTGATCTAGCCAAAAGTTCAGGTGAACTCGGTCATAGTTAGATAAAGTAAACAGAGCTTGACCTACATCATCTTGTTGCACACAGGAGGCAGGAAAAACTTCTGATTCTCCTCTATCCATTTGTCGGTGTTGTTAAGGACAGGTGCGGTGACAGGCGAAGTCATGATGGCCGGTCTTCTCGTTGTAGGCCTATTGAAGGGGCACTTATGGGGTATTTATTTGTGGCAGGAATGAAATAACTAAGAACAATAAGGTTGACTTGATGTCTATTGACGAAAGCTTTGATGATACATGCCTAAATCATCGTAAAAATAATCCTTACAATTTACTGTCACGCATTAAAAATAATAAGTTGTGGGTGGGGCCAGATACAGGAACTGTTTTCACAAAACTGGGACTTGAGCAAGTCTAACATCGGTGACATATTGTTGCATTTGATTAATATGCATGTTGGAATTTTATTACTGGAACACAACATTCTTTTACTTTTCATATTTTGGATTATTATACAGAAACCCAAGGAAATATTAGAAATGCATTACATGTTTAACTATGTATATTTGCATAACTGAAAAACTTTAATTAGAATACTTAATTTAAATTATAGGCTAATTAACTATCAGGGCAGACAATGGCCCTTCTCCAATAGTTCATATTGTGAGCATTTTTGTTAGTAAGGTTGAGCGATTCAATTTCAATTCTATGTTTCAATTAGTGTCTTTCTCAACTATCCTAATATAAGAAACAAATTAATTGAAATGCTAAATTGATTGTCCCCTTAACACCCTACCACACTTTTAAGAGTATTTGTTGAGTTTCTTGTATAGTTTACCTTAATGTCACTGCTGGGGTAAATCTCTTTGCACTTTGTTCGCGTAAATGACCTTGACCCAATTTCAAGATCAGAGGATATGTTGAAACCATTCAACAACCTCTGTAAAACCAAGGGGCATTATAAGGTCATGAATATTAGGCATGTAGTATACTGGGTGGAGGGCTATCTAATTTGTTCAAATGACTTTGACCCACTTTCAAGGTCACTCGAGTCAAGTGTGCTAAAACCATTATGCATCTTCAAGAGGCATAGTATTGTGATATTGCTTAGTAGGCAAGGAAAGATATTGCAATTTTTAGGTAAATGTCAAACAAATTGCAATAAAAAAAAAATTCACTGCAATGCAATTCAGTGAGGTACCGAAAAGTCCGAAAAAATCCAAGTAGTGGAAGCGTGCCTAATTTGCATAAATCCAATATGGCCGCTATTTCGATGATTTTTACCGAGATCGAGTTGCATTTCTTATCATAGGTAGATATTATGGTCCTTAAAAGCACAAATTTCACATTTATATGAATGTACTACGTTTTATATATCATATACAGAGGCATGTCTTGTTTAATTGTGCATCGCTGTATTCATAAATCCAAAATGGCCCCGATATATTAAGATTTACACATAGGTTTTGCCATATTTTTCAACTTATAAAGCTGTTGTGGCGCTAATAGAGTTTGAAATGTGATCTCCTGTACATTTTTTATCACCTAAAATACCCATATACTACATGTACATCACACACCCAAAACAAACCCCTCCGCACACGTGTTATGTATGTTCTATTAATCATCTTTGCAGATGACGATGTTATTTCATTATGCATGCACTAGACAAATATATTTTAATACGCAACACAAATATCATGTCATTTTATATTAAAAAAAAAGCACAAAAAAAATATTCTTCAGAAAACTAGCCCTTATGAGTATCCGTACAACAGAAGAGCTGTTGGAAGGGCTATGTATAGGGGTACAGGCTGTACCTAGCATTATCCTCATGGTCGTTGGATTGGTTAGAAGTTGTTTTCAGTGCAACAATTTACTTTAGAGAGGTGAGAAACTTTCTTGATAGCCGACCTACGCAAGGCAAGCATACACACGAGCCTACATCAATAGGACGGGGGCTGTAGTTGTAGATGTGATACTGGTTGTATTGTAGTTGTAGTAGGGATTGACATGGACATAAACCAGTTCGAAGGAAAACATCATGAATCTGATAAAAGGTAAATTAAGCTATTTGATTAATTTTAGGCTGGCTACATGTATAGCAGTAGACGATGTAAGGACTAAGGGTAGCTCCAATGCTTCATGGACCTTAGCCGCGGCATTGGATAGCCCGGTTGGGCTCTTCGAAGGCGTTTGACAGAAAAGTATGAAAAACCTACGGTTGATGTTAGGTCTTGACTAGGCTGCAGATAAAACTGTAAATGTAGACCAATCCAAAGACGTCGGTAACAAGATACCGAACTCCGTGGCTGGAAAGAAAGTGGATGAACATTCATTCAAAAGAAGTGACCAAGCAGTGACATTAGGTGCAAGGACTGGTGTAAAGATCGGCGATGAATCTGTTCATGTGGACCCACAGCTCCTTTACCAGAGACTAGTCATTGTCAGTAGAGAACGTGAAGATACTTTAGCATCAGTTTTCAGCTACGAGTTATGCAGTCACCCCCTGCCCTGTTTGAATCCTGATGTCTCTCCTTAGAGGCCGACAAACCAGACCTAGCAGATGCACTTTAGAAGGTGTTTGAGCATGAGCTGACACGAGAGCAGACACTACCCAGTGGTAATGTTCATTATGTTTTGGATGGCGGTGCTCTACTTCACCGTTTTCCTTGGCGACATGGGAGCACTTTCAACAACATATGCCAGCTATATGTCAATTATGTCAGCAGCAAATGTGGAAGGCGTAGTTGTTTTTGATGGCTATCAAGGCGGTCCCTCAATCAAGGACGCAACACATTTTAGACGATCAGGAGATTGTCAAGGCCTGACTGTCAACTTTGCAGAGGACATGGTAATCAAATCCAAGAAAGACGAATTTCTTGCAAATGAAGTTAACAAGCAACGCTTCATAAACCTACTCAGTTCCAAGCTCGAAACGCATGGTTGCACTGTATCTCATGCAAGAGGAGATGCAGATCTTTTAATTGTACCTACAGCAGTAGAAGCAGCTAAGTTTAAAGACATAGTTCTTGTCGGGGATGACACAGACCTTCTCATCTTGCTGATCTTCTACGCTGATCTGAATGCAAAGGACGTCTTTTTTGCACCTGAGCCCAAGGCAAACTCCAAGAAGAATCGAACATGGAATATCAAACAGCTGAAGGAAACTCTTTGTCCATGCGCTTCTGGGCTGCGACACAACGTCTCGCATATTTGGACTAGGGAAAGGCGTAGCACTGAAGAAAATCATGAAGATTGACGACTTCTGTAAGCTTGCCAAGGTGTTTAGTCAGCCAGCATCAGACCTGAAGGAGACCATTATTACAGCTGGAGAGAAGGCACTTGTATGCCTGTATGGTTTTGAGGTACAGAAGATATTGCGTAAATGTATCATCAATCTCGTCTGCCTTAGAAGCAAAGACTTTGCCACCAACTTCAGCAGCAGCAAAGTTCCACAGTCTGCGTGTGTACTATCTATCAGATATTAGAATGGAAAGGAATGGCAGACGACCTGACACCGAGAGACTGGGGTTGGCAGGTCACGGATGGGAAGTATCTTCCAATACAAACTGATAAACCACCAGCACCAGCATCACTCCTTAAATTCATCAGATGTGGATGCAAGAAAGACTGTGCAACCAAGAAAAGCACGTGCCGGAAGTATGGCCTCAAATATTCAACAGCCTGCACTGATTGTCGTGGCACTAGTTGCACCAACTCACCACCACCAGACCTAGAACTAGATGCTACTACTGACCACCGTGCCACATAAATGTATGTTTGTTAAAGACTACCAACTGCAATAACAACTGAACTGAGATATTAAACCAATATAGACATATATTATAGTTGCTCAGTAATGCATTGTGGATATGTATGTGTTTATGCCAACTAAAGAACCTAATCATGATATATTTGAAAATTTAAAAATATTTTACAACATGAATAAGTGTTGTCGCAATTATTCTGATATTACATAGGACAAGAATTATGATTATAATCAATTCTCTACACAACCAAATTCCTTAATTGGCAGCCATTTTTAATTTATGCAAATTAAGACACTCAATTAGGCATATGAAACCTTGTGCAAACAAAAGCATTCTTGAAAATAACATTTTAGACATTCAAAGTACACTAAAAGTATTCTAAAAGGTATGTAAGGTGAACATTTTGACTAAATCTAGGATAAAACATTAGAATTGGCGGCCATTTTGGATTTATGTAAATAAGACACACTTCCACTACACAGATTTTTTCGGACTTTTAATATGTCATTTTGGGGACGTTACTAAAATGCATTGCAGTGAACTATTTTTTATTGCAATTTGTTTGACCTCAAAACACAATATTCCTAGCCTATAGTGGCATTCTGGACCAAGGGCTATCCTTTTTGTTCAAATGAATGACCTTGAACAACTTACCAGATTCCTAGTAACATTAGCTCACCATGTCTGAAGGATCTATGGATCTCATGTTGTAGCTTGGCGTCCATCGTCCATCCAAATCAGGTTACTGTGACTTACTTCTCAATGTTTGACCCACACTTATAAAAAATATTATGGGGTTCATATTTCTGTTTTACCTGATTAGGTCACTATGACCTAATTAGATAAAATTGGTCTGTATCATCAGAAATTGTCATTGGGTTCAGAAATGAACTACAGATGTAAAAACTGTTGTTTCACCTTATTAGGTCACCGAGACCTAGTTTTGTCAAACAACTGTTAAATGTTTATATCTGAACCAAATGGCAATTTTTTAATGTAGGTCATATTTATGAAAATTAGGTCAGTGACCTTATTTCGTCTAACAACTTTTAAATGTTAATTTCTTACCCATATGACCATTTTTGATGATGTAGGTCAAATCTTGAAAACTAGGTCACAGGTACCCAATTTGGTCTAACAGTTTGATGTTAATTTCTGAACCTGATGGAAAATTAATAAGATATAGGTCAAATTGACCTAATTTTTTCTGCCAACTGTTAATTGTCAATTTCTGACTCCCATGACCATCTTTGATAATGTAGGTAAAATCTGGAAAACTAGGTCACAGTGATCAAATTTTGTCAAACAAAAGTTTGATGTTAATTTCTGGTCCTGATGACAAATCTTTACACTGTAAGTCAAATTTCCAAAATTAGGTCACAGTGACCTTAATAGGTCAAACATCCATACTAAGGCAATTTCTGAACTGAATGAAATTTTTTAAGTGAAGGTCAAATTTTTAGAAGTACAAATGTAGGTCACCTGACCTCATTAAGTAAAATCTAAGTGGATATTTAAAATCAATATCAATGGTTTGTATGGTTCATTTTCAAAGGCTATGTAGAAATATATTTGAATTAGGTCCCCTTTCCCATGCCTTCCAGGTTCCATTTGGCACAGGGTCCAATGTTACACCAGCATTCATATGGAACGTTTGAGAAGTGTTAAGGTAAGATTTAAATGTTTCTGAATACAAGAATATCTGAAAACACTTCACATGTATCCATTTGGATTTTAGTTGATTGGTCAAAGTAGATCATTGATCAACAGAAAGAGAAAGGACACAACCAGATGGTAATTTTCTTTTTAAATTTTGGTTGCCAGCTCATGCAAAGAGGATGTGCTCCGACTCCTAGCCATGTATATCTTAGACTGTATTGCTAAGTGTCACAAATGTAGTAAAACACCCTCAAGTTATGTGCCTGCAATTAATATTTTAACTTTGATTTATTTCCCCCCACAAAAGTCGGCCAACACAATATTGTCTGCAAAACTTCTACAATTTTCAGCTGAATTTCATAAGATTTCACTGAAATAGTCAACACATTCTGAAGTTGGGCCCGTGCAATCAAAGAACTGCTCGCAGTACTGCACCAATTTGAATGAAGCTTGGTACATATGTGGCAGGATTTAATTGTACATAGGGTTAAGGTCGCCTTCTAGTTTGGAGCTAGAGGGAATTTCCCTTTAGCTCAGTGGTATAGCCTCCGACTAGGAACCTGGATTTTGAGGGTTGGATCCCCAGTAGAAGCACCCTATTCTCTTTCCTGTTACATACATGTAGATTGAGGGTTGGATCCCCAGTGGAAGCACCCTGTTCTCTTTCCTGTTACATACATGGAGATTAAGGGTTGGATCCCCAGTAGAAGCACCCTATCCTCTTTCCTGTTACACACATGGAGATTAAGGGTTGGATCCCCAGTGGAAGCTCCCTATTCTCTTTCCTGTTACATAGTTGGAGATTGAGGGTTGGATCCCCAGTGGAAGGACCCTATTCTCGTGCCTGTTACATAATTGGAGATTGAGGGTTGGATCCCCCGTGGAAGCACCCTATTCTCTTTCGTGTTACATAATTGGAGATTGAGGGGTGGATCCCCAGTGGAAGCACCCTATTCTCCTTCCTGTTACATAATTGGAGATTGGGGGTTGGATCCCCAGTGGAAGCATCCTATTCTCTTTCCTGTTACATACGTGGAGATTTAGGGTTGGATCCCCATTGGAAGCACCCTATTCTCTTTCCTGTTAGATAATTGGAGATTGAGGGTTGGATCCCCAGTGGATGCACCCTATTCTCTTTCCTGTTACAAACATGGAGATTTAGGGTTGGATCCCAAGTAGAAGCACCCTATTCTCTTTCCTGTCACATAATTGGAGATTGAGGGTTGGATCCCCCGTGGAAGCACCCTATTCTCTTTCGTGTTACATAATTGGAGATTGAGGGTGGGATCCCCAGTGAAAGCACCCTATTCTCTTTCCTGTTCCATTCATGTAGATTGAGGGTTGGATCCCCAGTGGAAGAACCCTGTTCTCTTTCCTGTTACATACATGGAGATTAAGGGTTGGATCCCCAGTAGAAGCACCCTATTCTCTTTACTGTTACATACATGTAGATTGAGGGTTGGATCCCCAGTGGAAGGACCCTATTCTCGTGCCTGTTACATAATTGGAGATTGAGGGTTGGATCCTCAGTGGAAGCACCCTATTCTCTTTCGTGTTACATAATTGGAGATTGAGGGTTGGATCCTCAGTGGAAGCACCCTATTCTCTTTCGTGTTACATAATTGGAGATTGAGGGTTGGATCCCCCGTGGAAGCACCCTATTCTCTTTCGTGTTACATAATTGGAGATTGAGGGGTGGATCCCCAGTGGAAGCACCCTATTCTCTTTCCTGTTACATACATGGAGATTTAGGGTTGGATCCCCAGTGGAAGCACGCTATTCTCTTTCCTGTTACATATATGGAGATTTAGGGTTGGATTCCCAGTGGAAGCACCCTATTCTCTTTCCTGTTACATACATGGAGATTGAGGGTTGGATCCCCAGTGGAAGCACCCTATTCTCTTTCCTGTTACATAATTGGAGATTGGGGGTTGGATCCCCAGTGGAAGCACACTATTCTCTTTCCTGTTACATACATGGAGATTTAGTGTTGGATCCCCAGTGGAAGCACACTATTCTCTTTCCTGTTACATACATGGAGATTTAGGGTTGGATCCCCAGTGGAAGCACCCTATTCTCTTTCCTGTTACATACATAACACTTTAACTGAGTGTACCTGGTATGTGAATTAATACATTGCAGTTAACTCCTCTTTCTGCGGAGCACGCGCGTTATTCAATTTGTCTGCAATCCTACATGTGAGAATTATAGGACAATAACTTTTCAAAGGCAGTTTATATGCTTAAATTTATTAATGTTAAATTACCCAATTTATATCAACTTTACATGCATTTGATGAATTTAACATTTTCATATAAATTTTGTGGAATATGTAGAGCATGTTTAAAGTCATTAATTGTGTTATGTAAACTTTACTGATTTTTCTGTGTATTCCCTCCTGAATTGCCAGAAAATTGTGGCCCTGTCTAGATCTGCCCCCATCAGCACCTTGGTGAAGACAAGAATATCTTCCCTCATCAGCATGAACATAATGTCATCTTCCAAGGAATAGTTTTGTATAATTCTTGCTCACTTTAGTTGGGCATATATGTCCCATATTATAAACATTGATTTAAACATATTTTATTTGCAAAAATACAAAAGGGATTAGACACAAGTTTTAAAACTTAAAGTTCGCCTCCTCCCTTAAAACAATAATGATGAAATATACATATGGCTGCAAAATAGAAATACTGATGACCGTATTTAGATGATTCAAAAGGAAACATGAATAAGAGAAAATGTACAATATGAAAAATCTTATAGATTATTGAATGTACCGTTACATATGTCTCAGTAACCTGTATATAATCAGAGACGTATAATACAACAATCTCTGTCATATACGTCTCTGATATACATACATTGTAACATTACTATAAATAATCTATAGTTTATATTTTAATATTGAAACTTCTGTCAATGATGCATATCATATAGTCACTAAAACAATATAAAATTTAATAATTTAAAATTAGCTTTGAAATCAACCTGCATGTGTCAACACCGTAGCAGCTTGATGACGCAGCAGACCGTATCACACAACGGTTACATCCTTGAAGCTTTCTTTAAAACGCACGGCACCATAATATCCGCTTTCAACATGTATAAATATCACACATCCTTGGCTTCCTTAAGAGATCCAAGCTTGCTAGGCTCCCTGCTATCCCGGATGCGATCCACTGCGTCATCAAAGTACCACAATGCTAACCACGTACAGGTGATATATAAATATATTTACTTTTGTTTTAACTTATTTTTAACTATAATCCGTTTTGAATTTTTAATGTACTCTTGAACTGATATGAATAGAAAACAATTTTCATTAGCAGTAAACATGTCTGAACCATACAAAAGTAAATCAGCAGTTAAGAACTCTAAATTCAAATTCCCTATTTTTTTTCTCTTGAGGGTATTTCTGGTTTCTACATACCATGGGCATTCTAAAAAATAGTGCTCAACATTTTCTATAGGATAAGAACATATGCATTCAGGCGACTGAATTACATTTATACGTTTGAGGTCAGAGCTCAAGGAACTGTAGTTATACCCGAGTCTTGTTTGCAAAACATTACATTTTCGTTCAGCAGTGGAATAAAAATCAGGAGCACGTTCTCCTTTAAAAGATATTTAATTGTTGAATGTAGAAAGCGTATTACATGTTCTGATTTGAATATCAAGATTATTCCAAAGTCTTAATGTGCTAGGAATGAACGATTTCTCAAATAAGGTTAATCAACACCTTGGAATCACATGATTATTTAGAATTTGTAAATTGTAATTGCTAACATTAAGCACTCTGTTTGGCATTATATCCTGTAAGTAAGAAGGGGTTAGATTATTTTGCGTTTTATATAATAATGCTAACTTACGAGTTTTCCGACGATTGTTTAATGTTTCCCATCCAGTTTCAAAATACAAGCTTTACCTACTTGCCAATACAGGAAGACAAGTCACAGTTCTAGCCGCTTCTAATTACAATTTTTCTAGTTTTTCGGAATCTATACCATTACATTTATCCCATAGCTTGCAAGCGTATTTCAAAAGAGGTCTTATAAAAACTGTATACAATTTTGACAATGTTTTCTTATTTAAAATATATTTTAACTTACGTAATACAATATATGTTTTGATGCTGATTTAACAATATTGTCAACATGTACAGACGATTTACAGTTTTCATTTAATGTTACATCTAGATGTCTGTGATTAGTGGAAGTTTGTCATGGTGTATTATTAAACATTAAATGTACATCAATTATAAACATAAACGTTATAGACATAAATAAAGTAAAAATAATACACACATAAAAGAACATAGGTCAATTTCATGTTAAAATTATGTAAGCAATGTTGATCATAAAACCCCCCAAAACAAGACAATTGTGCGAATTATAGTTCCCCACCGAATGTGAAATGCTCAGATGATAAATTTGTGCAGGAACTAATTCTATATATGAATGTTTGACAGACCCACCATATTCAATAAGGAATAGTGTCAGTGCTACTACTGCAAATAAATCTGGTGGATGTTTACTGGTTAGTGGTACCGTTTTACTGTTAAATCTGGTGGATGTTTACTGGTTAGTGGTACCGTTTTACTGTTAATCTGGTGGATGTTTACTGGCTAGTGGTACCGTTTTACTGTTAAATTGCATCTGGTGACACTATGTATGGTTCTTCTTCAATGCAAGTGAACCCATGCCCCAAGCAAGAAGGTCCAATAACTAGTAGTATAGGAGATAGAGCATGGACAAACTTTTTCTTTGATGCAGGTCAAAGGTCAAAAACAGAGTGACCTACTTTGATATACGATGCTGCCTCACTAAGATGAACCCATACTCCAAGTATGAAGTTCCAGTGACTAGTAGTGTAGGAGATAGAGCCCGGACAAACGTTTTCTTTGATTTAGGTCAAAGGTCAAAATGTAGGTCAGAGTGACCTACTTTTGATACACAACACACTGCCTCACCAAGGTGAATCCATACCCCAAGTATGAAGCTCTGGTTCCCGGTGGGGGACTAATAAATATTTTATCAATCTAAATTCATTTCGTACAGTAGCAATTTGTTTTCATGTGAAGTCAGTAATTGTAACATAATAAAAAATGTTTGCATGAAATTCTTACTTTTGATTTTCTTTGTTGCCAAAAAAAGTGGGTATACTTCTTAAACACAATTTAGAACTTTAAAACGACAAATTGGGTAAAAATCAGCTCACGCAAATTGGGTCACAATTCCTCAGTAGTGACCTTGAAAGAAAAAGCTGATGACAGATACTGCCCCATGGGCCAGTTAAGGTATTAAAGAAAATACATGGCGGCTTGTTCCCACAATCTCTTTAATTTCATTCACTGTGTCACACTCCATAAATAATATGACTCAAAATTAAAAAAAAATGTATATTAATAAAGTATCATCAAAATCCTGGATCCCAATCTAGTTTTGCACTTTGTGTTTGTGACTGATAACACACAATGGAATCTCCGGGTTGAAACACCAATTCATCATCAGTAACTCTTAATCCACACTCCATGTCCTTCTTTATTTCATTTACTTCCTTTTTGAAATGTTTCAGTGATACTGCACTTCCTGAAATACACCAAATTTTCCTTTGTTATATATTCTATGTATGGAACCTATTAGCATGTTATACTAGATCCTACAGATATAAACATGTGTTTACGATAACCTTTCTGTTGTCTAGATTTCCCCTGAGAATCTTACAACATCTAACAAAGGCTTTTACAGACCCAATAAGTATTGTTTATATGTTCCCAGTATCTTGAAAGTAATTTAATCCACTTAACCCTTTCACCACTGTGGACCACAATGGACTCATCCAGATAAATGTATGGTAGAGTCTACTAAAGTTGCCTAGGGGTGAAAGGCTTGATTGATTTAATCCTAGTGAATGTGTTAAATTGGGTCAAGGTCATTCAACTGAACACCTTAAAATTGTGTCATTTAATTAAATATACATGTTAATCTTCAATCGCAGCAAGCTAAAAATCGAACATCCTGATTCTATCATTCTGCCATACCTTTTTGAAGATTTTAACAAATTTGACCTCTATGACCCCAGTGACAAATATTATTTATATGATGATTCTATGTCTCATGGTTCTGTAGAAGATGCATGGATTTCTTAAATAGTTGATCTCTTTTAACCTTGATAACAGGTTTCAGGTCGTTTATTTGAACAAACCTGAAAACAGTTTATCTTTGAAAATTACCGACTTTATTCTCTTGGATCTACACAGTGGTATAGTAGTCTAGTCCCAACACTAGTTCTGATAACTCTGTAGAAGTTAAACAAAACATTGATGGACAATGGACATGGCACCATTACATATATCTCTGCCAGGTCAATGAAACAAGAGGCCCATGGGCCTTAACGGTCACCTGATATATTTATACAGAGAGTTGATTTTGTTTTTAACATGAACAGAAATATTATTCAAAGTGACAAAAAACAATAAAACCACCTTACTCAATATCTAGCATACAGATTTCAGACTAAAAAGGATTTGAAACTAGCACCTCTGATTCTTAACAAGGAAAATGAAGAAATTTTAGCACACTGACT